TGTGCTGACTTTTTCTTGCTTTCATGAGATTTATCATGTACCTACAGAATATTTTTTCTTGCTGTCTGCATTCATTGATTCTCTGGTAGATTTGTCATTGTCATTTGGATCTATACCGTCGATTTATCAGAAAAAATTTGCACCTTTTCCGGTATGTTTGTCTTCTCATCAGCTTCAGAATTATTTTCTGCTTTTTTTGGTTTCTTTTTTTGGCGAGTCGTTTACTTGTTCTCAATTCAGACATAATTCTGGGTTTGTATTAACAAATTACTGTTCTTTATAGGCAACGAAGTACCATATGATTTGACTTTTCCTGTGAATTAGGTATTATTGGAAATATCCAGTCACGAAGAACCAAATTGAAATCCAAATGTGTGTCTGTCAAAATAACTCTAATCTATTATTTTCAACGTCACAGCTAACTTATACGTATTATCAAAGGTTTACAAAACATCAAATATAATTATACAGCATGTGAAAATTTTTAACTAAATAAACCCCCAACAGTCTGCTCATCAAATTATATTTACTGTTCATGATAATAACAAATTTTAATAATAAGTTATATCATTATTATCATGAATATTGTTATTGATTTTCAGCAAGTAAAGGCAGCCTGATGGGTTGACGTGGGTGATATGCTCTACTTACTCAATCCTCCGCTGTGCGAACCGATAGTTCGAACCGCAAGGGCGGACGATTGATTTTCACTTGCTATCGTCCAACTCATGTTAAGAATCACACTTTAAAAGATAAAACCTTGTTAGTCCTTAGCTCGCACAAGTTTCGACTTTTGAGAGTTGTTATTCGAAGGGGGAAGACAGCTGGTTAACGGTAAAACAGATTTTATAACGGGTCAGTGTATTTAAATTATATTTGAAAATAAACCATTCGATCTTGAAAAAGTATCTATTGGAGGTACACAAATAGGATCGGAATGGTTAAGGATGCCTATTTGCAGAAATGTTTTTGTTGATCATATTTTGATTTCATCATTTTAAATTAGGCGCTATATTCCTCCAATGACATCACTAACGTGATGGCCAAAATCTTCACCATTTCGAAACCCCCCCGCCGCATGCAAACTATGTTATATCACAATAGGTGTTTTCTGGCGTTAATTCGTATTCAAACATTAATTCGACAATGATTCGTCATGACGTCATTAATAATAGGACTCGTCAGAATAAAATTGTTCGATACCCTCATTTCAAAACTGTGAAATGCAAATAATGTATATGAAAATCTTTTTTCTAACCAATATTTGAATCAGAGTTGATTGGTGATGTATACAAGTGCTCAAAATAAACAATTAGTAGGTATCTTAACAACTTTTTGAGTTACATAACATAACAGGTTTAAACATCTTGATTTCTCGGCTTTCTGGCCGTGGTCGAAGTCCAAATAATTTAAACAAAATATAATTATCAAAAGGTTTGACTTCAGAGGTCCATTTTTCGAATGGAATGAAATATATTTTCAGTCAAAACGCTGTTAGCGTGTGTGTATTTCTTACAGACACTTTGCTAATTTTTTCTGTTAAGTTTCAGAATTCACATCTAAAAAATAATTTTTCTTATTCCTCGCTCTAAAAGCAAAACAAATAAACAACCAATATCACATAGGAATGTAGGCTTTCAACTGCCGCAGTTGCAGTCGAAATGTTTGTAGATTATAATCAAAGAAGACCACGGCAAAACCTGAAAATCAACCAAAACACAAGCCAATATCACTTTGGTTTTGAACATCGACATAACTTTATAGGTTATGTCGGTGGTTTTGAATCATTTCAAATAAGTACGTCAGTACCAACGATTATGGGGTCCATGCAATTCATCATAATGTACTCCATCATAACATCAAAGGAGAGAAATCGCAATGCATCCTAACGCTACAAGATCATAATCGTAAGCCATCATAATCGCAATTCATCATAACGTAAAACATCGGAACGTACTTTGTCATAAAGTACAAAATCATAACGTACTTATAGAAACGTCAACCGATCATAATCGCAATGCACATTGTATCATAAACTCAATATATCATATCGCTAAAGCGTAGAAACCGCATTGTACAGAATCCGTATTCCATCATAACCGTAATGTATAGAATCCGCATTGTACAGAATCCGTATTCCATCATAACCGTAATGTATAGAATCTGTAGAGTATCATAACGTAATCCATGATAATTTGGTTGCGCGCGCATCAAGTCTGCCTCACAATAGCTTACTGGTGTCATAGTCGATGGGCCGAACACAAATATTCTAAGCAGAATAACCATCATATTCTTAGCGGAAATTTGCTATACTACGAATAGATCTTCAGATGATGTGGTGCTGCAGGTTTTTCTGGGTTTTCCTGCAGCTGAAAAAGCAAATGCACCACTGGAATCAATGAAGTCGCCCCGGAGGACCAATTAATTTTTATTGGTGTTTTTATTTTATTTTCATCGTTGTTTTAATAAAATGTTCACTACACTGAATAATAATACTGAAAATCAAATAAATTCTAGTTAAATCGTGGTCCTTGGATGAATACCACTTGTGTGGAATCATGATATTGTCTAGCTTCAAGACGGCAGAAATCTTAGCCTGACTAATGCAGAAAGTCGCTGTATTTAGCTCACTTCGTCTTTTCAGAATCCGCAATTTCTGAAACCAAATACCATTTACAAGAATGGCACCACCGCGCCCTTCGTATGTGTCGAAGCTTCAAGGGGACGGCTTGGCTGGAACTTGTCTAAGGGAAAACAATAATAATCACAGTTAATATCAAAGTAAATAATAATTCAATACCTAAACACTGGTATGATTTTTACTATAAGCATCACAGGTATATATGCATGTGTAAGTGTCAGGAATGTGTAAGTACAGAAAAACTGTAGTGTACAATGAAAAGCATACATATTTTTTCTCAGCTAGCATCTAAAAATGTCATAACATTTTTTATAAAATATTCCCTTTGGGAATTACACGGTCATACTTGTACATACTATACAAATTGAGTGCCATTGTCAAAGAATATATCGTTGCCAGATTTATTTTTATTTATGTATTCAGATAGAACCCAAGTTTAAATGCAATAGTCTAAAACTATATGTTGGG